GATAAGACTGTCCTCCTACCCCAACAAAAGGAAAAATAGAAGGAGAGGTAGACCTCCATAATTCCCTCAGTATTGAGTATGTGGATCCGGTGTCCAAGAGAAAGGTAATGGACCATCCTGTGATGTTTACCCATGGATCCCTGTTACAGATGACAGTGTGGTTGGGTCAAAGGAGCATAGGCAGCCTCACTCGTCCATGGCCAGACCTAGGTAAACTTGGGAATTTTCTGGGTTTGATGTCTCCATTCCACTATGTGCATGAGGACAATCGACTGCCCAATATCCTTCTCTATGGCATCTTGGACAAGGTCTTGAGGGACCAAGATGAGGATTAGGGCATGCTCAGGCCCAGTGACCAGTTCTACCACATTTGAACATGGGGCTATTGGTTCTCAAACCTGGGGGCAAGGGAGCAGCATGGACAGCACAGATTGAGCAGTCTGTCACCTTGGCTTGTATGAGGGCCATGGCTATCATGTGACAGTGATTGTGGGCTTTGTCAATTCTCACATGGTACACCATAAGAGCCAACTCTAAGACATCTGTCTGTGGGGACAAAGGGCCTTTCTCCAATGTCTAAGTTTATCCTTAATGTCGAGGTAGCACTGAGAAAAAAAAAATGAGTCATGAGTCTGCCTTCTGTGGTTTCTGGATCTAAGTTAGTATATTGTTACAGGGCTTTAGTGAGGCATCCCAAAAATGCAGAAGGATTTTCCTTCATATCTTGAATGACCTCTGAGAGCTTATTATAGTTTACATGATCAAGGGGAGCTTTGCAGAGACCTTCCAGGAGGCAAGTCAAAAACCAGGCCCTAGCTAAAATTCCACCTAAAGTGCTATAGTCCCAGTGAGGTCCCTGCTACCACCTCTGTTGCCGGGTAGTATGTTGCATGTGTTTGGTAAATTTCATCTGTATGTAGTCTGGCTTGCTCTCAAACTCACCTGCACTCTCCAGGAAGTAGGCTATTAGGTAGGATCATATAGGTATCATGAAAAGTGAGATTATAAGACTGGGTAATATACTGGAATTGTTTTATGAAATTGGTAGAATTGGTCAATGGGCCCAAGTCACAGCACCAATGAAATCACCTGGCACAAGTGAGAAGAAAACATGGAACATGTAACAAACTCACTTAGGAGTTTATTAGAGGGGGCCTGGAAAATCAGTGTGCAGAGAAAGAGAGAAGAGGATGGAGCATCCAGCTTTTAAGAGCTGCCTAGCACACATGCGCAGGGGATTGACATAGCTACGTCATACAGAGATGACAGGGCTCATGCATGCATGCAAGGGCTTTGCTGAGTCAAACATGGATGATGAAATCCATGCATGTGTACAAAAGCTTAGCTGAGTTAAACATAGATGATGAAATCTATGTTTGCGTACAAGGGCTTAGCTGAGTCATATGTGGATGATGAATCCACAGCATGCACATAAGAGCTTAGCTGAATCATATGTGGATCACACAGGGCCCTTTAACATCCCTGGGGCGGGAGCATTAGGCACTTCTGCCTAAGGGCTTCTCTGCACATACATGACCCCTAGAACCTGGAAATATCGGCCTTATGTGGCTGAAATTATTACATTAATACTATAATTTCAAAAGTTAAGCAATTTTCAAAAATATACAAATAATTACACCTTGACATACTTTCTTGCTATTTATCTTTCCCTAGTGAGAGAGGAAGAAAGGTCCATTCATCCAGGTAATGGCATTTATAAAATTAAAAGAAAATTGTTTTTAAATTCTACTTTTGTAAATAACTATGATTACTAAGGTTACAGATGGAATTCAGGCACACATATCAAGAAAATGTTCAACCAAGTGTGGTTGCATGAAGTGGCCAAAAATCAGAGAGTTTGGGAATTGTTTTTACTTTATTCAAGATTATTGTGATTCTAACTCAAGCAAAGGTCCCATCTATATGTGAATCAAAGTTCTGCTCTCTCAACACTGTCATCAACAGGTGTGGCTTGTTGCCAGATCTCGTGCTCTTGAAATAGAGAAGTAGATCATTTCTACCTAAATCAAAAGTCCAAGAATCCAACTAAGTTCAGTTCCCTTTATGAAAATAACTTTTATTCCATCCAGGGAGTGGTTTTCCTACAGAGTTCTAGGGCATGAGTCAAAGGCATGAGTGATGAAGGTACCTCATGACTTTCAATTTGTACATTAATGCAATACTTTTGTTCTTCTACCTTTTGAAATCAGGGGTATAGCAAGCTGTTTGAAATAAAACATGGGAAAAATTTCAGTGCTCACTGAAAAATTCCCTCCTGATACTATGTTTCTGCATTTTATTATTTTCATTCATGACTTTTGATTCTTTACTATATTTCCAAAATCCCATGCCCTCCACTCTGGAAGAATTTTTTTTTTTTTGAGGCTGGCCTCTGGCAACTGAGCAATGGCAATTCCTTGGGGTGCCTGTAGCACAAGATTTTCTCTGCCATGACAGCTAGAATTTCCACTGATCAGACCCAAATACCACAACAATCATTTCTATGTTTTAAATAATTGATTTTAAGAAGGCTTTTTAAAAACTTAAGTTCATGAGATTATTTGGTGATGTAAGTGAATGAAACACCCCTAGTCCAAGAAACGCCCTCTCCAAAGCAAACGCTTTAATTCACAGAAAATGGATTCTCAACAGAGAAAATGCACTAAGTTCCATTATATAAGCAAAGACCATGGTGGCAGAATGAATACATCCAAGGTCCATTTATTCACTTATTATTTAGGTCATCTCAAATTGAGAAACACTGTCTGATTCTTGCTATAATTTGATGTCAAATGAAGTGAGGATACCAGTAAACTGGTCACAGTTGTGGACAAACTACTACTACTATTTTCTAATGATAATATTTTTGTCACAAATATACGATCCCATCAAATACTCATTTTTGCAAAAACCCTGTGTGTAAGGACTTATATCAGCTCTGGTTTCCTGTGATTGACAAAAACACAGAACAAAAACAGAACAGATTTTACACATTCAATGGAGTGAGAGGGAGAGAATTCAAAAAGGTATAGAATTCAAAAGCCTGTTGTAACTTGGGAGTTTTCCATCAAAGCAGTTAAATGGTTTCTTTTTCATATCCCTATTTTTTGCAGCAGAAGCAGGAAAATTGAAAGGAAAAATTAAGGATAAAATGTCATTTAACCTGGGCTCTAGCTACATTTGACAATAGGCAAAACTAGCCGGTGGCACCTGGAATATGAACATATCAGGGTTTTTGGACCTAGAAATTAGCTATTGACCATAAATCATCCATTTTGTTTTGGTTCATTCTGATTGGTGCTGATAGATTAAACTTTGCCTGTCAGTTACCCCATGAGTTTTGATTAAATGCATTAACCATCACCCTGTACTAAAACTTCATGAATATTAGAATGTCATATCAATTGCTGCTTGCACTAAAGACATAAATGTTGCTGTCAAGCTCCACTGAGCCAATATACCCAGTAATAAAGGAAAGTCCTAAACAGCCATGATGGTAAAGAAATAATTTAAGAGGTGTTTTAGAAAAGAAAATGTTAAATTAAATATGTAATTTGAACTATCTCTCTCATGCATGCATGCTCTGTGTGTGTGTGTGTGTGTGTGTTTGTGTGTGCATGTAGGCACAGTAGTTTTCATATGGAGAAGGCAAGCATGTGTTCATGTAGGTGACATCCAGAGAATAAACTCTACTATGGTTTTTCTGGTGCCTTCATTTCTTTAAAACAAGTCATACAAATCAAAGGTGAAAATATTGTGTGTTTGCAAAAATCCATCCTCCGTTACAAAATTTTAAATCCCCTATCCCTACAATCATTATCCATGTGAACTGTGACAATTCTCTTCTTTGTGCTATGTGTGTGTCTGTATATGTGTGTGTATGAAAATGCAGTTTAGTGTGAATGTGAATCCATGTGTGCATGTAGGTAATATACAGAATATAAACTCTACCACTGTTTCCATGGTGTTTATTTCTTAAAAATATTTTACTCAACATAATTATATAAATATTATATATTTGTAAAAAGCCACCTTCAATACCCTAAGTGAAAAATACTCCCATATTCCTAGTCACACTATTTTGTGCTAATTCTGAGAACCCTGTGTTCTCTTTTTGTGTGTGCCTGTAAGGGACATTCATGTGTTTGCGCACAAATGGGTGGGCATATGTGTTCAGCATGTGTGTGTGTGTGTGCATTTTTTTTATGAAATAGGTTATTTCTATTTATTTTTGAGAGTATAATTTAATTACAACATTTCTCCCTTCTCCTTCCTCTTTCAAACCCTCCAATATACCACTATACCTTCTCCTTCACATTTACATTATATTTTATAATTCTTGTTGGATATATGTATGTATACACATACAGATTTATTCTTAAATATAACCTGATAACTCTCTTAACAATACTTGTATTATATTTTCAAAGCAGGCCATTTGGTAATATATAACAAAATTGAGGGCCCTTTTCTAAGAATGACATCTCCCTTTCCCACATTTCCTCAGTAGCAAACAGTGCTTTGTGCAGAGTTGAGTCCTTCTGGACTCTGGTTTGTCCATTTGGCATGTTCATTTGTGTTATCAATATTAGGTGACTGTCTATTCTATGTAAACCTCCAGTCATCTTCTACCACGTCTGTGAAATTTCAAGAGTTTAAATGAAAGCTAAAATGTAGAATCTTAAAAGTTTTAGTACTTTCCCAAAAGTTAGACTGTAAAAGATACAAGTGGATGCCACTTTGTTAACATTTGCTAACCATTATCCCCAGGAAAATTAGTGGAGAAAATGAGCAGCTGGTGTTTCTATAGCAAGAAATATTAACTCCTAGGTGGAAATAACAGAGTGTGCTTTCTACAGAAATAATAAGACATGCATAAAATGTATGGATTAAAAATATGGTCAGGAAATATGTTAATGCATAGAAACGTAAAAATTTAATTGAGTTTTACAGACAAGAAATGAATAATAAAAAGGTAGAAAGCCCCTCAATTGCAATACCATGTAATGTGTGTGCTCTGTGTCTTCATCAAAAGCTTCTCAGGAGAAGGCAAAGAAGGAAATCCATAGTGCCAGAGTCTGATATCATCCTCAGCAGGATGATGAGTTCATGTGTCTACATCATAGGAGGAAAAGAGAAAATATTTAAGAATAACTAGTGAGTAATTGTAAAATATGGATAGTTAAACAGAAAATCATTTTCATATGATTAGTAACATCAAAAGAATGTTTAAAAAGAACAAAATTGCTAGAGAAGATGTATTAATATTATTATAAATGCAATATCTACAAGTAATGTAGAGATTGGGTACAGTGGGAAACCAGATGCCCATATAAGTCATCCCTTTTTCTTAATGATAAATTAAATCTAAAAATTTCTATAGAAACATATAAAAATACTAAATTATTTGACATAAGTTGATGGCTCTAATATGTCACTTACTAATTATCATTTAACTCATCTTAAAAAATGACAAAAGTTATACTAGGCAAATGTTTTTCAAAAGTTCTAGGAGAAAATGTATATGTATATGTTACCAAGTAATGAAAAGAAACCATATTTTTCCTGCTACCACAGATGGGTAGAAGTGTAACTACTAAGACTGCATTCTTGACCCTCTAGTACTATGCTGCAGTCTGAGGAAGAAGGAAGATCATGTGATGGTTGGTGATTCACAGCTTCTTGGTGGCCTATTCTACAAGCTTTTAGACCATAATGAGTCCTGTTTACTTAGAAGCCTTCCTAGGAATGCTGACTGAGTATTTGGCCCTTTATCCATACTACATCTTGGGAAACAGAACTCATTTTGCCAGTGTGGAGTTCAATGTTCTCTTTCTTTGTTGCAATTTCTACATGCTCCAGAACATGTCTAGCAGTGTCTGTGAGGTGTCTGGTGGAATCTGGGTCACTGCTCCCCTTAAGAATTCTATTTAGTGGCATAAAGTCTACCATACAAAATTTAAATAAGGTCTCAGGCACTGAATATTTCCTAACAATCTCTGAAAATCATGCAGAGTCTGTAAGTTATCTTTCCTATTTGTCAATTCCTGAGGTTTCATTTCTTTAGGCTGTACCATATGACCTAAATACTGGAATGGCAGGTGTCTTTGTACTTTCTCTGGGGCCGGCATGGGTTAGTTACTCTGCTAAAGTTGTCCATATGTCTAGAGCAAAACTCCTTCATTTTATTGGAAAGCAAGATATCATCCACATCATGGGTAATATGAACTTGTAGAAATTGATCTCCGACATTTCATATAGCCTGGGCCACTGATTCATATATAACATAATTTCTGGCATAATGTAACTCTGTTTGCTGTACCCTGAAGCAAGATGCTCCAATGATAATTTCTCATTGGCTCTTTAAAGTTAACTGATAGAATACTAATTACAAATCTTTGACAATCTTTTGGTGCCAAAAAGTGGCAAAAATTATCCTTCAAATCTAAAATAATTTTTATAGTTATCTTTTGTTATGGCTGTAGGAAAAGACCACAAAGGCTGGAACATTCCATTGGCTGTATGGTCTTGTTAACCTCTTTAAATCTTGTATTAATTTCCATTTTCCTAATTTCTTTTAAATCACAAAATAGAAGAATTAGAGGGTGGAATGTGACTACTGCCCACCTGTTCGTGCACTAACCACTGGGGGGTTTGAAATTTTTCTTCTTTTAGAGGCCACTGATTTACCCATACAGAAATTGAGTCTGCATGGAGTTTGGGCCTCTCAGTGACTTCTTCCAAAAATACCATAATACTGTCAGAAAGGACTTCTGCTAAGTATGATTGGATCAGTCCTTCTCTCATTCTTGCTCAGCTCTTGATTGAGTAACAACCCTTACCAAAATATTTGATTAGCAATAATTGTGTTAGAGGAATAAAAATATATACCCATTTGTGTCATATTTCTAGGTCCCACAAATTTACAGGTAATTGAGAAACAGTCTCCAGTTATGAAATGGCACCCACCATCTGGGACATGAATCTACATAAGACCTAAAAAACATTTTTAAAAATTAAGAATTAAAAGATGATTCTAGAAAAAAAAAGTAGGAGACGACTGCAGATTCTTGGGAGTTGCATTTTATTCCAGATAGCCTCGGCTTGCTGGCCACAAGCAGTGGCATAACTTCTTTTAGAGCCAGCTTCCTGGTTCATGCTGGTAGCACAGCACAAACTTTTTCAGGAGATCCTGCTATAAAGCACTTAAATGGGGCTTGTGAGTAGAGTCCTACAAGTGGATTAATGGCAACACAAACACAAAACCTCTGCATCCCTGGAGATGGGGTAGGTAGCATGGCTCACAAAGGTGATGAACATGCCTCCACCATGTTGGATTGTGTAGAAACAACAAGCAAAGCCACAGAGTTAGTCCTAGTCGTACCTATTTAGCATTAAAAAAAAAAAAAAACTGTCCTGGTCAGAAAATAATCACAGATACACAATAAGACAGATTCAGACAAAAAAGACCTCTAAATGGGTGACAGTGTTGTATAAATATATATGGGCCTAAGAGAGAGAGAGAGAGAGAGAGAGAGAGAGAGAGAGAGAGAGAGAGAGAATATTGGCAATCATAATTAAATGAGTAAAGAAAATAAATATTAAAAAGTAATATAGTAAAAAATAACCATGAAAAGATGAAAAATACACAGAAAGTCTGGATTATGAATATTATTTTGTTTTCTTTGAAATTTTTGACTGCAGAAAAATATTTGATTCTGGGGGATATTAAAATAAACTAATTTAAAGTTATTTTGACATCAAAATTCAAATTTAAGCATATGTTACTTTTGGAAAGAGTTTCTGCTTTTGTTTTCACAGAGGATGCAAACCTGTGGATTCCATCCAGGTTAGTGTGGTTTTGTTGTATGAAGACTGGTTTCTCATTCCAGACCCTAAATAACCACATGGAAAATCTATTGCTGCTCGGCCTATTAGGTCTAAGTTCTTATCTGTTAGCTCTTACATATTATTTAACCAATTTCTATTAATCTGTGTATTGTCACATGGCTATGCCTTACCAGCAAAGTTTTGGCATGCCTGTCTCTGGCGGCAGCTCCATAACTACTCACTGACTCTCCCGACATTAGTTTAGTTTTCCTTGCCTAACTCTGTTCTGCCTTCCTATGATATAGGCTCAGAGCAGTTTCTTTATTAACCAATTGCATTCACAGCATAGAGAGGGGAATCCCACATCATGGTTTGATGTACCAAGACCCCCTGAAAGTTTGCCATGAACCCTAAAAATAAATATCTGTCTAATTTTTAAAACCATTGGTCTTAATCAGTTACCTACAGTAGTATTGGGGTCAAATGGAGGGACCCCTTGACTGGAGCCTGGAGAGGACTAGACCCACTCATCACTGCAGGTAGAGGATTTGGATGTGTCTTCTCTCAACATGAAAAAAAGCCTATCTGAGTGCCAACCAGAAATCTTAAATATTTACCTCAACAAGAGGATAATGATAATAATGTTTCCAGGGAGTGTACTGCCCCTGAGGAGTGCCTTTTTAATTTTTTTAATGTGTTCTTTATTATTTAGTATGTATACAGTGTTCTGCCTGCATGTACACTTGCAGGCCAGAAGATGACATCAGATATCATTACAGATGGTTATGAGCCACCATGTGGTTGCTGTGAATTGAACTCAGGGCCTTTGGAAGAGTAGACAGTGCTCTTAACCTCTGAGCCATCTCTCCAGCCCCTGAGGGGTGCCTTTCTGCTTCTTCCCAGAAACAATAAAAAATGTGGATGTTGTCGCATATCCTGATTATACCCAGAGAAGAGATGGTGACACGTTCTGGACAAACCCTGTGGATGGGCTTTTATGGATTCTATTTCTTTCCCCTGCTTAGTCCCTTCCTTTTCCTTATTCTTCTCCTTACTGTTGGGCCTTGTGTGTTGGATAAGATCACACAATTTATTTACCAAAGATTAGAGATGGTTGAATTACATCAGGTCAAGGTATACAATCATAGGCTGGCTACTCAGGAGTCTGACCCTTTGTATGACTGTATGACTGGTAATCCTCATATAAAAACCCCTCATCCACTCTCCACTTGACCAGTGATGGATAAGACCTCAGACAAGCTGGGACAACCTAAGGCAGGTCATGGAGTGGGTTCTTCATAAATGAGATACATGGTACTCAGTGACAGGTAAAATCTCCATGTGGAAGACAACCTAAGATATGGACCACAACATTCAATTTCATGACAAAATCAAAAAGTGGTGATCGTGGGCCTCATGGGGACCAGGAGTGAAGCCCAGTGTAACTTCCTGAGCCTTGCTTGAGTTTGAAGACCTGTCTCTGGCTACCAAACCTAGACTTGCCACTGAACAGCCACTGCTAGCCTGGTAGAACATTATTGGCCCTTATTCCTTACTTCACCTCAATCCATCCAAAGCTTCTCCAACTCAATCACAACTCTGTATAAGTTAATGCTTGATACCATTAAATGAGATCCTGCTTTGACAGACTCCTGATTCAGTGACTGTGTTTCTCTCTAGTGGCTGGGAGAAAGGACTGGATCATTCAACACTCACCATCTTGTTCAGCCCCATGGAAATCCAGTGAGTCCAGCTCTGCCCCACTCTTTCTTCCAGAGAATCCATAACTTCCACCATTTGAAAGGTGGAGAGAGGAGAAGCCAGGACCCAGGGATGCTGTGACCACGCTGTTTTCCAATTTAAAAGCTCTCTAAGACAGAAAAAGATTACAGACACACAATAAGACAGATTCAGACATAAAAGACATAAAAGAACCCTAAATGAGTCTCTGAAGTCTAGGCTTCAGAGAGTGAAGAAAAAGTAAAGAAGTAGTAAATGTAATAAAAGAGTACAGATAGTCATGGATTAAAGGTATAAAAATAATAGAATAAATATTAAATTTGTAGAAAAAATCAATAGAGAAAAAAGTCACTTAAAGATTAAATATACACAAAGAGTATGAATTATGTATATTGTTTTGTTTTCTTTGAAAGTTTTGCCTGTAAAAGAGCTAAGTAACCAATGTATATACTTTGAAGAGATCCTGTTTTTAAAATATGGGTCTAAGGATATGTTCCTTTGGAAAAGAGGCTCTTCTTTTGTTTCCACAGAAGATCAGACCCTATGGAACCTTTCAGACTATTGGGACCGGATGGACCAAAGATCCTGAAAGGTAGCCATGAACACGCCCAAAAATTACTTTGCACAACAAAAATCAGGAAGCAGATTGAAGAGGATGATGACCAAATTCCCAAATATTGTTTATAAATGTTTGTTCATTTTTAAAGGGGGATATGCCATAGAGAGTAGCATTGGTATGGGTTGATTTAATTGATACAAATTTAAGGTCAGTGTTGTTATATGTATATTTCTACTCTTGATTAAGGTATAGTGTTTTTGCAACTCATTTAAAATGTAATGAATAATAAATAAATCCAAATGAATAGATAATTGGCTCATAGTCGTGTTAGTTAAGTTTTCTAGATGTACAAAGATGGATTTCAGATGGATAGGCATTATTCAAACATTTCAAAGACAAATGCTTGTTCATTCCCAGTCCATTTGGAGTTGGTGAGCTCCTATTAACTCAGACCCATTGTCTCAGTGGGTGAACCCCTCATGATCCTGACTTCCTTGCTCATTGTTGCGGGAGGTCCTTCTGCTCCTCCAGCCTATAGCCGCTGAGATACTAGCCCATTGGGGCGTGGTCTCTCTCCCTTTAAAAAAGCAGCTACTTCTCTTCTCACTCTCTTTGCTTCCTGCTCCGTTGCAGGCGACTAGACTCCTTCCTGATTGCACAGAGGGCTGTTGTCTGGGACGGTTATCTGTAAGTTTTTACCCCTTTAAATAAATACCACCCTATTAATCATAATTCCAAACTGGGGTGGCATTGTTTGTGACTTACGCCTTCAGCACATACTCTCCTTTCTTCTTCTCTTCAACTGGACCTTGGGAGCTTAGTCCAGCGCTCCAATGTGAGTCTCTGTCTCTGTTTCCATCTGTCATTAGACAAAGGTTCTATGGTTATATTTAAGATTATCATCAGTCTGACTACAGGACAAGGCCAATTTAGGCACACACTCTATTGCCTAGGGTCTTAGCTGTTAGTTTGGTTTTCTAAAAGCTCAGAGATATATTCCAGTTAGATAAATAAATTTCAACACTTAAAAGACCTATAGGTTGTGGCATTTAAAAGGTTTTAAGAGCTTAGACTTTTATCAACAAACACTGTGGCATGCCTACTTCTGGCAGCACCAATTACTTCAGAGAAGTTGATGGGCTTTGAAGAAACTCATCGTGGAATTTGCCTTCAATATGACAAGACTAGCCATTTGGGTAAAAACTGCTCTTGCCAGGACTGCTTTATGGTATGCTGCATGAACGGGACATGCAGGAATCACAGAAAAATGACTTTTGAACTTTCTAAAAGATAGGTTGTTTCTTCAGGGTTCCTGCTTCTCAGAAGAAACTACCAGACATTCTGCAGGACACGGGGGAAAGCAACAAATGAACTTTGCCAGTACAAGGCAGTAAAGATCTTCAAATTTCCCTTCCTGCTTCATGGAAAAGTCTGCTGGATACTATGATCCTGTAGGCTAAAAATGGATGCCCCAAAATTACAGAAGAACTTTGGATGACAGTCAAAGTAGAAAGATGTCTCTGTCAATTCTAGAAATTTGGAAGTTGTTTACAATGTACTTCCTATTTACTTAGGTATTATATCTTTCTGAGGTATTTGAAGAGTTGAAGACAAATATTAATAGTAATCATATTCCTTAGTTATGATAAAGGATAAATTAGTTCAAACTTTAGACTAACAAAGATAGGATAGACGATACAGTATTTTTCTTAATTTGCCAAATGAAAATGGACTAAATATTGTAAATACAATTTGTCTTTGATAAATATTTCATATATGTAATTTTACTATGTTAAATGTAAAACTTTCCTTTTTATTTAGACAGAAAAGAGGCAATGATGTGGGATGCCATTGTCTATATGGGTTGCATTTATTGGCTAATGAATAAAGTTGTTTTGACATATAGCATGGCAGAATATAGAGTAGGTGGAGTTAGAGAGCTGCCATATAGCTGCTGAAAAAGGACATTGGATTACATTGATAGGCCACAGCCTTATGGTAATATACAAATTAATAGAAATGGGTTAATTTAAGATGTAAGAACTATATAGGGATATTCCTGAGTCATTAGCCAAACATTGTTATGATTAACATATTTTCTTTGCGATTATTTGTGTCTTGGTGGTGACAAAACGAATGAGCAGTCCCTGTTTACATACATGAACAGGTATCATTCTATTCCTGAAATATCCACTGAAATTAATGATGAAAAAACAGTACTTCATGAATATACATGCTGGAATAAAGGCTACTCTATCACTACACAAAAGTAAATAAATTCTAACGTACACAGGAAATATGAAACAGTACTGTAAATTATTTGGTAAAACTAAGTCTGCATTTCATGCTACCTGGTTCAATCTGTTTTGCCTACTCTTAGGAATAAGGAATACACAGATCACCTGTTCTTCTTTCAAAACAGAATATGAGGCATCCTCATATTCATAAATGGGTCTGACCTGATCCTGCTACCAACTCAGCTTTTGGACTTGAAAACAGGAATGCTAGTTGGTATTTTTCTGATAAACCCAATTCATGAAAATCATACGCTCTTGATATAGACTGTTAATTAACACTAGAGAATTTGCTATATATCTTATTCTCAAAGAGAATGGCTGCAAATGCACATATCAGACAATATGGTGTCTGAAACCCTCTATAAATTGGTCTCCAGGAGGAACTTTCCAGGGTTATAGCAGTTCAGGCATTCCATGCTAATCAATGAGACCTAACTCTAATTTAATTGTGAGGGCCCTAATAACACAATAGGGCAGGTTTAGATTTATAGGTTTTTGAATGCATTATTTGTCCATTTGATGCTATTTCCCTCTGTGACAAGAGTGACAGTAAGTGAGTTTATATATTGTTCATTTCTTCAGGGGCAAAAATTCATACTATCATCTTCATAATATATGAAAAAGTACACATATAAATGAAGAAATATAAGTGAACACAATTATCTGATTGCTATAAAACACCAGTAAAAATTAAAACTAAGTAAACACATTCATTTCTGTTTATGGGAATGATGTCTTGATTACCCTGGAGACAAGACGGGACTTCTAAATTCCAAGCACACAAAACAGAAGCACCCAAAACTTATTGAACAGAACACAGAAGTGAGAGTCTGGTTCTTATATCTGTTTCACCACATTTAAGAACATGGAATCTATTAAGATTTCTCATTCAAAATAGAAATATTGTATGGAGAAAAATCACACCACTATAAAAATCCAGATGTTTTATGGATAACTCTTGAGTTTAGGTATACTTCATAGGCTTTGCAAAATGTACTATGACCTCTTATGTTCTACAAAGAAAGGGGTGTGAATAAGATGTGTGGCATGCTCTGGCAGTCCTTTCTAGTGTTTGAGTCTGTGTTTTTCCAGCTCAAATAAAGAATGCTTATTCTTCTTTGGCAATCCTATGTCACTATATGTGCATGGTCTATATATTTTCACATACACAAGATTTTCCCATTTGTTACTCCTTTTTTTTGACACAGGGTTTCTCTGTGGCTTTGGAGCCTATCCTGGAACTAGCTCTTGTAGACCAGGCTGGTCTCGAACTCACAGAGATCCACCAGGGCTGGAGAGATGGCTCAGAGGATAAGAGCACTGGCTGCTCTTCCAGAGGTCCTGAGTTCAATTCCCAGGAACCACATGGTGGCTCACAACCATCTGTAATGAGACCTGGTGCCTTCCATGCCAGCAGTACATTGTATGCTTAATAAATAATTAAATATTAAAAAAAGATTTTCCCATTTGTATGGAACAAGTTCTAAATTGTTAATTGCTTAAATCTCTTAAAATGCATTATGTCTTACTGCTCATGCACTTTTTATTTTAACCAGTGGTAAAATGAAGGTGTGATGTCAACAAGAACAGAGAAAAGCAGTTCTAAGAGAGGGAGTTATCGTTATGAGCATGAAAATCACTGAGCTCAATTTGGTGTGGTGGATAATCATGTAGGCTATACTAGTTTTTAGTGTTCATTTAGCATCTCAGGTATATTATACATGTACATCTGAAAGGTGATTCCACTAAATAAAATCTACTTTAAAACATATTGTGATGTTATTTTAGTTTCTTATGGTATCAAGGTGGGAGAGAGAGTGAAAGAAAGAGAGAATTTCATAAATACTTAGGTTCCTCTTTTTGAACTCCATTCAAACATGACTAGGTTAATACAAACAATCATTGCTGACAGTCCCGTGAATCTACAAATTGAATTTCATGATTTCAGGGCTTTTACAAAAATTTCCCATTTTTTTTTGGTCACCACTAGAATATCTCATTGTACTCAATACCAGATATAGAACTTCCTCTCCACACCCCCCCCCCAAAAAAAACAAGTGCCCTGAATACACAAACCTCCATGTGTATTATTCATCGCCCCACAAATGAAAACTTATTGGTCAAGTCTGAGTAGAGTAATAGAGGCTCAGCTAGTCTGTATCCCTTTCTAAGTTCATCTTATTGTTGCTCTGTTTCATTTCCTGACTACTCAGCAGAATTTCCCTCGTGAATACTGATAATTTGGTAAAACGTTTGAGCTACTTTTATTTCCTTGGAGCCTATTTGATAATATAATTGTTAAAACTGAAAAATGGAAAAAAAAATTACAAGTCCACATGCTTAGTGACAATAAAATGGAAATAATATGGGATAATAAACAATTAAAACACTACCATGTGTAGAAAATATGTATGGAAGCAGCACATGAACAGAATCATAAGGAACAGCACTTCTGCATGCTGAAAGGTAACCAGGAATATTGCCTTCCAATCTCCATCTCACATTATACTGGAAGGTTTCCTCAAAGCAGTTTCTGGGGAAAATAAACACAAGAGTTTCTTGTGGTGTGGGGCGTCCTTCTGCCTATGTGTTGCTTTTATTGGTTAATGAATAAGGAATTTCTTTGAGCCTATGGCAGGGAAGAACAGAACGAGACAGGGAAAGTTCGACTGTATGCTGGGATCAAGAAAGCAAGAGTCAGGGAGACACCATGGACCTGCCCCTGGAGATAGACAGGCTGAAAGTTTGCTGGTTGGACACGACCTCATAGTGATATACAGATTAATCAAAATGGGTTAAATGAAGATGCAATGATTAGTCAAAAAGAAACTAGAGCTAATGGGCCAAGCAGTGTTTTAATCAGTATAGTTTCTGTGTGATTATTTCTGGTATAAGCTAGCCAGGTAGCCTGGAATGAACAAGCAACAATTCTTACTACATTCTTGTTCTTAGATGTCCAGTCCTCAAGGCAAACAACATTTTACAATTTATGAAAAATGGTCATAACATTATATAAAGTAAAGTACTCAGTAATCTAAAAAAAAATTACTTAGGTTAAATAACCAACTAATTTCAAAATAAAATAAAAGATAGACTTCAATCTAATTATTTACATGATCAGCCAATAATCCAAAATGAAATCAGGAAGCAAGTGATTCTCCAATACCATAAATTCAGGGAAGGGGTCTCCATCAGTGTCAAATTCTTGAGATGCAGAGAGGAATCAGGGCTTTACTGCTTGAACAGGAACCTTACTGAACAGCACAGTCAGATGCTCTATGAGAAATAAATGACATAAGTTAAAGAACAAAATATGGATAAATAAATTAGAGTACTCCCAAAGCTATAACCATGTATTCATGATTATTATTAACATGCATTTATATTTAAAATATTGCAATACATTGACATTAGAAGGACATTGAGCCTATAATTCGTGATGTTAGAGAAGCTAAATAAGAAGGAGAACCCAAAGAAAAACATATAGGCATCCTCCTGAAAATTCTTGTATTTTTAAATATAAAAAGGTACTAAATAGCAAAGTCAGCTAAGAAACACAGTTTCAGTGGAGAAGTAGAACGAGATAGGAAAAAATGGGATGAAAATGACCAAAATTCATATAAATGGATAAAACCTTTATATTTATTTTAAAAACATAAATCCAACATATTCACAAAATCAAGACATGCATTGAACTTGAATTTTATGAATTTAAATGGAAATAATTTCTATAATCCTCTGAGGTTCAGACGTCCCCAAAAGTTAAAAAGAAAAAGATACAAGTGAAGGCCACTTCACAAAGCATTTACTGAACATTGTCCTTAGGAACACTAAGTGTTTCTATAGCAAGACACATAAACTATATCTAATTAAAATGAATAGGATGTAAAATCTACAGAAATAGTAAGATATATATATATATGTATATATAATATGTATTTATAAATATAGCTAGCAAACATACTACTACATGAAAACATAAAAATTTAATGGACTATTACATGCAAAAATTAGTAATTGGAAAGGAAAGGGAAAAATAAAACAAGACTACAGTACCACCAGCTAGGTGTGGTGAGTGTCTTCAGTGAAACCTTCTCAGAAGTTGGGGATAAGCAGTTCCTCCATGCCTAAGTCTGAGATTATCATGAGCAAGCTTGTGAGACCCTACATCATCAGGATCATAAAATAGGAAAATGTTTAGCAATAAATATTGAGAAACTGTAAAAACATGTATGCATAAACAGAAAATCATTTTCATATGATTAGTAAGATCTACATAAGGTTTAGAAAATTCCAAATTCTTAGACAAGTAGTTTTAATAGTTTTATAACTGCAATATTCACAGGCAATATAGATATTACCCACAGTGGGCATACAGATCTCCATATGTGACATTCTTTTCTTGCAATGATCAACATTTTTCTAAACTATGTATAAAAACATAATCAATCCAGTATTGATGAAAGTGTCCTGAGAATAAGAACAAGGTTAATCCACTCACACTTCCTGATTTCAGACATGCTGAAATATGACACAACACACACACCACACATATAAATGCAATGTATCTGACATAAATTAAGGGCTTAAGATGTCATTTACTGATAATCATTTAACTTATCCTATAAATTGCCAAAGGATATACTAGGCAAAAAGTTTCTCAAATGTTCTGTCATAATTAGATAACACAGTAAAATTTGAGTTTCACTTACATAACACATATTAGATGATTTTTGTGTTTATTTAGGAAAGTGTGTGTATGTGTGTTTGTATGTAAGAACAATCAATGAAAAAGAGGCAATAAATCAAAAAGTGAAAATTATCATTATACGGGAAGATTGGAAAGAGAAAGGAAAGGGGAAACTGATGGAATTACATTATTACTTCAATTTTTAAAATATACTTAAATAAAGAAGCAGCTCATATACCAAAATGTAGGTCTAATTATAAAAATACACAAATATAAGATATCTTAATATTATTCTCTAAAGCATTAGTAAAAGCAATACTTTCTAAGGTGTGCAGCCATAGATTTTATTGAAAGAAGATTAATGTCCTATATTTACTTTCTCCTTGATGGGTCTAACTTGATGTATTTCTACACTTGTCAACCCTGGCAAGGTATGCTAGAGAAATAAAGGAAAGAACAAGAGGAGGTTTGGTTTCAATCAATTAGCTGAAGAATATACTTATGAAAATTTGAGGTACACTGGTGCCATCTAGAGTTTCACATGAGCCTTAGATGATTGCCAGCAGCAATGCTCAAAAGACAAATATTTTCTTTCATATGAGGTAAAGCAAAGAATACTGGATGAAATGTTACTCACCCAGAAGATTAAAAAAAAAAAGAAATTTTATTTTAACAAGAGGAGCACACAAGCAAATGGTTATCAATACTTAATAGTCAGCACTGAAAACCCAAGATATAACACTAGACAACCTAGCATGGAGCATAGTTTCTTTAGTTATTAGGAAATATGTGTGTACGGTGATGCAGTTATGTGCATGAAACATCAAATAACATTTTAAAAGGACAAGAATTTGAATGAGAGCAAGGCGGGATATGTAGGAGGATTTAGAGGAAGAAATCATCAGGGTAAATTATGTAATAATATAATAATTTCAAAAATAAAGAGATATTTTTCAAACATATAAGAATAAACTGCACCTTGACATACTTTCCTGTTATTTATCTTTCCCTGGTGAAACATGAAGAAAGAATCGCATCCATACAACTAAAAGAAAATTGCTTTAAAATTCTCCTGTGAGAATCAGTGTGCTTACTAGGGTTACAGATGGAATTCAGGCACATGCACCAAGAAAAACTCAACCCAACAATGGCAATTAATTGTGGCAACTGCAGGGCAAGATATTCTCTGCCATGAGAACCAGCATCTCCACTGAACAGATCCAAATATTACAATAGTCATTTCTATGTTTATAAAAAGGCAATTTTAAGAAGCCTTTTCAAACACTTAAATTCATGAGATTCTTTGGTGATGTAAGTGAATGAAACACCCACAGTCCAGGAAACGACCTCCCCAAAGCAAATGCTATAATTCACAGAATGGATTCACAACAGAGAAAATGCACTAAGCTCTGCTACATAAGTAAAGACCATGTGGACAGAATAAGAACATCCAAAGCTTATCTATTCACTTATTACTTAAGTCATCTCACGTTGAGAATGATGTAAGGAAATGGTAAGATGGCCTGATCTCTGGAATAATTTGAGATCTGAATGAAGTGAGCATTCTAGTAAACTGGTCACAGGTGTGAACAAACTACTAGTACTATTTTCTAAGGTTAATTATTTTGTCAAAAATAATATGATTCAATCAACTACTCACTTTTACATAACAATGAATAACTATTAATAAAATATGACATGATACATTCTTTATTGATTTTTGTTTATACTTTCACTTGCTGTGTAGCCCTGGCTGTTCTGGAACTCATTTTGTAGACCAGGCTGGGCAAGAAATCATAGATCTGCCTACATCTGACTCCCAAGTGCTGAAATTAAACATGTGAGATATCACAGTCCAGCCATAATAAATTCTTAGCCCTTCACTATTGTATAATTATATACTTTATCACTAAGTATAATACCATGATTAAATGATGGAAAATTCAGTAAACCATATGCTCTCTAATACAAACCCTTTCCATTTAAAGTTTTTCATCACCGTGTCTTATCTACCCACAGTACATGCTTTGTACTGACCTCATAGTTTGATGCTACAGCATTTCTTTAGAACTTCCACATGAATCACAGCATATACCTCTCTAAGCCATGAAAGTCACACTGCAAGTTGTTATAATAATGGAGTTTCTGAAAGGACCTTCTGGGATATTTTTAATCAAGCTCATGTATGAGTACATAAGAATCAAATTAAGACTTGCTTCTCCCTAACAGATCATCCTTGTATATAAAAAAAATAAACTAGAGCAAGTGTAAATGGAGATTGTTTGTTCATTGCTGGCTGCCCAGACCTGAAATAATTATATGAAACTATATTAATTGCAAGGCTGCTTGGATAATGACTCTAGCATAGTCCTATATGTAGCTCTTACATCTTAACTTAACCCATTTCTACTACTTTTTAATTTGCAATGAGGCTCATGGTTTACTGGTAAGGTTCTTGGTTGTTTGTCTACTTTGGGGGCTACATGGCATCTCTCTGACTCTACCTACTCTCTATATATATCAGATTCCCTGCCTGGCTATATTGTGCTTTGAAAGAGGCCCAAAATGGCTTCTTTATTAACCAGTGGTAATAAATCATTCAAAGCATACAAAGGGGAATCACACATCACCTACTGATTTCTGTCTAAATAAAAAGAAAAATATTAACTTTTACAAAGTAAAGTTACTTATAACAAAACAGGTATCCAGCATGAATTACACTGAAAATATTTATATCTACTTTATCTTCTTTTTAATTAATTAATTAATTAATTAAAGATTTCTGCCTCCTCCCCCCAGCCGCCTCCCATTTCCCTCCCCCTCCCCCAATCAAGTCCCCCTCCCTCGTCAGCCCAAAGAGCAATCAGGATTCCCTGCCCTGTGGGAAGTCCGAGGAACACCCACCTCCATCCAGGTCTAGTAAGGTGAGCATCCAAACTGCCTAGGCTCCCACAAAACCAATAGGTGCAATAGGATCAAAAACCTATTGCCATTGTTCTTGAGGACTCAGTAGTCCTCATTGTCCGCTATGTTCAGCGAGACTGGTTTTAACCCAGGCTTTTTCAGACCCAGGCCAGCTGGCCTTGGTGAGTTCCCGATAGAACATCCCCATTGTCTCAGTGTGTGGGTGCACCCCTCACGGTCCTGAAGAAAAGTATAATTATAAAAATCTATTCTTCAACTCCATCAAAGACTCCCAGCCATCTCTGGGACCACCAGGAGCAGGCCGCACTCACCACCTCAACTCTGGTTAGCAGTTGGCCCAAGCTGTCACCAATCAACTTGGAGCATGCTGCCCCAAAATTTTATTCAAGTGCTTGGCCACCTGATAGAGCCAGAGTTTTTGCTGAAAGTATGAACCAGGAAGCTGCCTTTTTTTATGCTGAGTAAGTAAGCCTTCTTTTAAAAGAGTCAGATTGCCTCTGCTCATAGCCAGCAAACAAAGCCTATCTGAAAATAAGCAGCTACCAAGAAGCTGTGCTTAACTCTGTTCTTTTGTGCCTAGCATTTATTCCAAAGTTCTTGCAGTTTTTATGTGGATGCAGTTACTCACTTGGCTGCCATTCTGTTGGTGGAGACTGCTCAT